CTAGCTAGTCTTTACGGCGAATCGTCAACTCGTAATTAACTCGCTCATCGTAAACCCTCGATAAGATATCAAGGGAGTTCCAAACTAGAAAGAAGATTTTATACTGTTTGTAAGTTTGTGAAACTTTTGTTTATAATTTTTGTTTGTAATAACTATTTGTAATATCTGTTATTGTAAATTGTATTGTTATGTGTATATTAAAACGTATTTGTGTTAAAAAAGAAAACCGTGTATCAATCTTGTTGGCAAATATCATAAACTGAATATATATCGGCATTTATTTAAATACTAAATCCAAAGTACTATTTTAACTACTAAATTTAAAGTATAAGTTAACTCAATTTCAGACCATTTAAAATTTTAATACGTAATACTTGTGACCTACTTTTGTCTACATTTTGGGTGAAATATTCTCTTATCTCAACTACGAAACGTCACTAAAAATTGTGAAAAATAACAAGATAACTGAAGTGCGTAAATTATCTTTGACGCAATGTATTTTTCCTTGAAATTAAAAAAAGAGACGTCATTACGAGCGTTCTTTAATATCGAGCAAAGTGTCCTATTTACATGATGTGATTAAAAAAAATTCGTGTCACGTGGCTTTAACAAAAAAGCTGGTTGAAGGAAATCTTAGATAATTACCTAGACATTGATGTTTTTTTGCATTATGTATTTTTTGCTTTCTTGATTAAATACTAATGGTACTGTTTTTCGGATCCATTCAATAACTGTGTAAGTATTTGATAAAATTCAGAAGGGATATCTTCTATTGTCAAAAATACTTAACAGTTAAGTGATTTCTGTAATACTTATAATGCTCCTCTTCCACCCAAAACTTACAAATGTGTATTTGTTGTAAAGCACAAACCTACAAAATGGGCTATCTGTAACTCTGCCTTGTTCACCGCGTTATAAGCCCGCCCTAAGCCCTAACGCTGATACACCGAAAAGCACTAGATTTGTAACAGAATATATATATCTGATTTTGTTAATACAATTTTCTTATATTCTAAAGAATTAATATAAAGTTAGCTGTAATCTTACTTTATTTGTCTGAAGATTAATTAACACAGACATAACGTCAACTAGAAGAGACCGACTGAAAACCAAACTTACCTTAAAACGAGATAAGAACTCTTGCTGACGAGCTATGTCCGTCGCTAGAATTAAGGATCTTATCTGACATTCCACGTCATCGCTGAGAAACAAAAAATAAAGGCATATAATATCATATATACAATTGCTCGTGCTTATGTTTATTAAAGATATGATTGTTGAAGTTTAAGCTCCAAACTGCAATTCTCAGCTGTTATAAAGTTGTTTCATGTTACAAATATTAAAGGTTATTTATGAATGAGCAATTAGGCTTAAGGTAACACCCCAAACTTCCCCATTGAAAATATAATGATTGCTACTTGCCAAGCAGTAATTTATTACTAACTTTGATCATTTCATTATCTATACAATGAGTATAGAATCAGCAAGTAATTTGTAAGATAAGGAGACTGAAGTTATTATTATGTATTTTTATTTATACAGTAGTTTATTCTGTACCAGTTAAAATTATCTCCCAATTAAATTTGGCAAGTAAAATACTGTTATCGCGCAAGGAATAGGGAAAATAAAAATCATATACGTCATTCAAGAAACGCGAACACATGTTTACTCATTCAAGAAACACGAATATGTTTATTCTTTAGTTTAACGAAAAGAAGTTGTTTCCAATCTTACCTTAAAAAATCAAAATCTTGAGTAAATGTCACATTACACTTCCAAATCTTCATAGTGATATAAAATAGCTATAGAGGTAATAAAATTTAGAAAATAGAATTACACCACATTTTGCTGTGAGCTATTACCTAGAGTATCGTCGGGCACACACATTTTGTTGTGAGCTATTAATAACCTAGGGTATCGTCGGGCACACATTTTGTTGTGAGCTATTAATAACCTAGGGTATTGTCGGGCACGCATTTTGTTGTGAGCTATTAATAACCTAGGGTATCTTCGGGCACACATTTTGTTGTGAGCTATTAATAACCTAGGGTATTGTCGGGCACGCATTTTGTTGTGAGCTATTAATAACCTAGGGTATCTTCGGGCACACATTTTGTTGTGAGCTGTTACCTAGGGTATCATCGGGCAGCTGGAGAACTTGCTTGTTTACTATGGAAAATTTCGCGCAACACGAAAGCTAGCCTTCCCTAACTTTCAAATGATAATAGACTAGTGGGAAGACAGCTAGTCAACACCACTCGCCGCCTTCTCGTGAGCTACTCTAATCGAATAGCGAGATTTGATCGTCATTCTTAAACGCACCCACGGTTCCAAACCGCAGAGTTGTAACGGAACACAAACCATGGATCCTTGGACCCACAGTCCAGCATGCTCGCCACTGGATCGCGCTCGGCCAACACAGATGAAATAAAGACGTTTTGTTAAAGCACACAAGAAAGCTGTCGTTGAAGTAATTTGCTCAAAGTATTTAACGGAATCATTAAAATAAAAACCTATATATTTCGATTGTATTAACAGTAGGGAAAATGTAAATAATATGTTTATTAGGTTATATATATATATATAATCAAAAACACCTAAGGTGTG